TGTCAGGTATTGTGTCTCAGCAAGGAGAGAAAAGTAACCAAGACACCACCCCACACCTCACCCTTCACGGTCTCATACCTGTTCATCATGTCCAGCTTGAAATGAAATAACGAGCAAGATGCAGGCGGAAGACACAGAGCCAGACCTGACAGCACCGTGACACAGGTCAGACCAGCAGCTCAGGACGCTCAGGGTTGTTACGGACAGAGACAGCTGGGAGGCCAGGTGGGTGAGGTGAACAGAGACGAGGAGCCCAGGACCGAGTCCAGGGTGCCACGCATGCCCTGAAACAAGCCACTGTGGGCCAAGTAGACCCCTGGACACAGCCAAGGAGCAAGCCTCTGAGCATCAGGATGTGACACAGAAAGTGAAAAGCAAAGAGAAAAAGGATTGGGAAAAGCAAAACATCCACACACTGTGGGACAATGAGCAAAGAGTGGCATGCACATGTGGGAAATGACAGAGGAGGAGAGAGTGGAAGAATGGACCGCACAGCAGCAGTAACCAGGAACGTCCCCAAGTCCAAGTCAGACACCACACCTCAGAGCCAGGAGCTCAGACGACACACGGTGGGGTGAAGGCCAAGGAAAGCCAGTGCGGTGTTGAAAACTGCAATCGCAGCACGCCGATGTCTCAAAATAAAAAATAAAAAGGGCCTGGATGTCACTCAGTTGTGAAGCCCTGGGTTTAATTCCCAGTGCTAGGGGAAAAAAATCCAAGAAAATTACACCTTTCTCAGAGCTAAAAACTGCTGCTCTGAGAAAGACACCGTCCAAGGAATGAGGAGATGCGGGGAGACCATGTTGGCAAAAGGTGCACCCAGCAAAGGCCTGTCCCCCCGCACCTGAAACTCCACCATCACCAAGTGAAAATGTTATTTAAAAGGGAGTAAAACCCTGAACTCACTGAAGAAAGCATATAAACGGGCTGCTGTCTTATGTTACCAGAGCAATGCAAATCTTTCCAAACCCCGCCGGGGAGGGGAAGAACCACAGGCGCTGGAGAGCCCGACAACCACACCACGGCTCGTTGGCTGGAGCGGCCTGTAAATGTAACATGCTCACAGCATCACGCTCCTTAGCGTTCACACAATCCAACTGCAAACTGTGTCTGCACAGAACTCTGCATGTCAGTGTGTATACCAGCTTTGTTTCTAATTGCCCAGGCCAGGTGTGGCGGTGCACCCTGTCATCCCAGCACTTGGGAGGCTGTGGCAGGAGGATGGGTTCAAGTTCAAGGCTAGCCTGAGCTACAAAGTGAGCTCAAGGCCAGCCTGAACTGCATAGTGAGACCCTGTCTCAAAAAGACAAACAGAACAAACCACAAATAATTGTCCAGAACTGGAAGCAAGCACGATGTCCTTCAGCAGGTAAATGGATAAATCAACTCTGGTGCTCAGACATGGAGCAGCATTCAGTACTTGATAACAACAAATGAGCTGGACCCAGTGGCGCACGCCTGTCATCCCAGCTACTCCAGAGCCTGCAGCAGGAGGACTGCAAGTTCGAGCTCAGCTCAGGCAACTTAGCAAGATCCTGTCTCAAAATAAAAAATAAAAAGGGCTGGGAATGCAGCTCAGTGGGGTGGAGTGGGGGTGGTGTGTGCTTGCCTGGCTTGCGTGAGGCCCTGAGTTCTACCTTCAGAATGGCAAAAAACGAGGGTCCCAAGCCATGCAGGAAACAAAATGCACACGGCTGAGTGAGAGAAGCCACCCTGAAAACACCCCCCCGTGAATCCAAATGCGTGCCCCCTTGGTCTGGGTGATGGGGGCAGCTGTCTTGATCACGGGGGTGGTTGTGCAACTCTACTGTGATGGAGTGTCACAGAACCAATCACAGAAGCACACCCAGAAACGCATGGGACAGACACGGGTCCATGGACGAGACCCAGTCAGGGCAGACGCGCCGAGAGCCCTTGTGCTGCTTGACACTGGCGGCTGTGTACAACGCGTGTGGAGTGCAGTGTGATGGACACACAGGTAGTCTGCACTGTGTTTGCAACTTCTTGTGAGTAATAATTGTTGCAAAATTAAAAGGTTGCAAAACAAAGCAAAATCTCAGTAATTTAGAGGGGTGGCAAGCTGGCTCTAAAATTCATATAGAGATCTGAGCGTAGTGGCACACCCCTGTAATCCTAGCACTCAGGAGGCTGATGCAGAAGAATCACTGGGAGTTTGAGGCCAGCCTGGGTCTCGTAGCAAACTCAAGACCAGCCTGAACTACACAGCGAGACCTTGTCTCAAAAAGAAAGACTCTTTTTTAACTGGATTATTTAAGACCCAAGTGGATTCCCTGTAACTAAGAACAAAGACATGAGTACTTTGAAAAAAGAAAGCAATTTTTATAGTCTGAATGTTTTCTGTGTTTCAGGTTTTATCTTCATATGAAACCTAGAATTCAATAAGATATGGGGGCATATACCTATAATCCCTGCACTTTGGGAGGCTGAGGCAGGACGATCACAGGTTCCAGCCCAGACAAAGGAATTTAGCAACTTATTGAGGCCCTGTCTCAAAATAAAAAATACAGAAGTACAGAACTCATTGTGAAAACCCTGGGTTCATTCCCCATTACCACATACACACACACACACACACACACACACACACACACACACACACACAGGGGAACCTAGAATTTAGTATCATGCTCAAATGATCAAGTAGCTTTAGGGAGAAAGCTACCCTGCAGCCTTTGGCTGTTTCTAACAGGATTCGGAACCCTCTGTATGCCATGCAATTCACCATTTAAAGCAAAAATTGTGTTCACAAAATTGTGTGACCCCCCAGTGCCACCTCCTGCCCTGAGGACTTCTCAGAATGGCCCCTGCTCACGAGGCCACCTGTGTGGGGCATCTCCTGCCAGTGCTCTCCTCCAGACCCATGCCAGGATGTTCCCCCCAGACCCACATCCTGGCCACCTCTGCAGCAAGCTTGTGGAAGCCACAAAAACAGTCACAGGGCAGCTCCCATCCCCCAGGGCCTCAGCTGCCCTTCTGTACACTGGTGTAGTCCAGGTCCCAGGTCCTATCCATCCCAGGCCCTCCCAGGCTCCGGTATGCTGGGCTCCTCGGAGGACCTGGCCTGGGGTCCGATGAGAAATAGGGCAGCCTGGCTGGAACTTGGGACCGCTGGGGCCACCGTGAAGCTGTCACCTGCTGCCTGTGTCCTGGCCAGCAGGGGTTAACACCCTGGCCCTCAGGACCAGGCTTCATGTGGAATCACCTCCCTTCCCCTGGGGCTGGTTTCTTCGGAGATATGGCAGTCAGGGCTGTCGCCAAGCAGACCAGCTGGCGCAGTCCCCAGGGCCAAGCACCAAGGCAGCAGCCAGGCAGGGAGCCAGGCAGGCGTCCTGGTGGCAGCAGGTGTGGGCCTGGCCCACATAGCTCAGGACACCATAGCTCAGGAAGTTTCCCTCAGGCCAAGCCGTGCAATACTTTCAGGACATGTGTACTGTGGCTCTGAGCATAGACCACGTGCCTGCAGGAAGGCCTGCTGCCCACATCCCGCCAGGAATCTACCCTGGGTCTCAGTGGCCACCTCAGAGACATACAGCCCTTTCCACCCCTGGGCTGCATGGCTGACACCTGCTGCTCATCTTCCTTGGCCCTGCACCCCGTGTTCGCATGCTGATAGCTACTCTCAGCCCTACTGCTGTCTCTCACTGCAGCGCTGGGGTCCCAGCCACAAACGAGGGGGCAGACCCTACCAGGCCATGCAGGGCCGCCAAGCAGGATGGATTCCATCCACTAGGCCAGCTTCAAGAGTTGGAGCCTGGCTCACACCTCTGCCTTGGGCGCCCAAAGCTCCTGCTCTCAGCGCTCGGAAGGTCCAGGCCCCTGTGCTGGTAGCTGTGGAGCAGCACCCCCATGTGAGCCTGCAGATCACCCCTCTTCTGCCTAGTAACCTGGAACCACCGAGCAGGAGGATCAGAGATGGCACAGATGCCTTGGAGGAGGCAGGGCCTCGGGTAGGCTCCGAAAGTGGAGGCCACATGGGTGGCTGTGTCTGTGGCCAGATCCCAGACCACTCAGGGGCAACAAACAGGAGCAGTGAGGCCCTGGCTAGGGGCACCCCACCTTGAGCTCTGTCTCTGGGGCTCCCAACAGTGACAGCAGGGCCAGACAGTTCTCAGCTGTGGTCTCTCTGCTGACCCTGAGAAGTCACTTATGTGGCAGATGTGCAGTGGTCCGGGATGGGGCTGGTTGCATGTTCCTACCCAGCACCATGTAGGACCCCGGTCAGATAAGCACCATTTCAAAGGACAGCGTGGATCTTGTTGGCCAACTGGTGATGGGGTTGCCTGCCACCAGTGTGCATCGGGTGTGCAGTGTGCAGTGTGCAGTGCATCGGGTCACTGCCTGGTGCACCCCTTGGGACAGGGTAGAGAGGGTTTGGCTTTGGGGCCAGCCTTGGGCAATGACAGGCTGGCAGGACACAGGCTGGCCACTTACAGACCACCCAGACACATGTGCTGTAGCCACACAGAAGTAGCTCCGGGACCAGTGTTGCCACAGGTTAGGGCGAGCAGCGTACGCTCTTCTCCAGATGCACTCTCGGCTTCCCTCCATCGCCATCTGCATGGTGAGCACCCATACACCGGCAGGTCCTTGGCATCAGCCCAGGTCTTCCGTGGCTTGGGTCCATCTTTTGACACCAGTGAGCCATAGCTACACCTTCCCAGCTCCATTCTCTCGGCTCCAACCTGGAACTCACAGGACCTTGACAGCTCTCTATGCAAAGTGACTCTAGGCGGCTTCTTAAATCTTTGCTGGCTGCTGGGGGGGGGGGTGGCAGCACCCAGCTATGTCCACCACCAAGGGACATCAACATGCTCCAGGCTCAGGCTGCCCACAGGGCCACGGTCAACCACAGTCCGGAGCACAGCCACCAGTCACCTGGTCCAACCTCCAGGTCAGGGCCCCTTCTTGCACCTCCCTGCCTGCACCCTGACTCCAAATAAAAATCGCAATAGCACTCAAAGAACAGGGAGACCAGAGCATTTAAGTTATGAAATCAAATATACAGAGTGATTCATTTAATATGTACATATGTACAGAAATGCACTTTCACAAGGGGCGGCCAGAGTTGGCGGGGGCAGAGCCTGGTGCCCGCGGCGAACGCTGACAGTTGCGAGGGGTCTGTGTGAAGGCACTTGTCACAAGCTTCGGTTCTGCCGCGTCCCGGGAGGGGACATGCGGTGGGGAAGGGCACTTCTGGAAGCAGAGCTGAGAGGTCTCTGGAGAGGTCTGGGTGGGAGAAGCACGGACGGCAGGCTGGGCAGGCAGCACCTCGGGCCACACCGGTGACCTGGGCCACAGCAGCAACCAGGGTCACACTGACCACAGAGGTCCCACCTCCAGCCATGGGCCCCACCAACAGCCACAGGTCCCACAACAACCATGGGCCACACTGTCAGCCACAAGGCAGCCATGCTATCAGCCACAGGTCCCACTGACAGCCAAGCTAGGCTGACAACCGCAGGTCCCACTGACAGCTCTGGGTCCCACTAACAGGTCCTGGCCTCTCTGATGGCCATGGGTCACCTGCCAGCCACGGTTCCACTCAGGGCCCCCGGCCACACCTATAGCCACAGGTCTCACGGGCTCTTTGGCCTGGAGCCACAGAGAAACCCAAGTGAGGAATAAAAAAGAAGATTCTGTAAACAGTGCATGACCTCTGGAGACAAAGGCCACACAATTTGGTGAGAACACAAACACACTCTGCTCTCGCCTGCCACACAGCACGTGTGACACACGGAAACTTTACAAAAATAGCAACTATCCGAGAATACTCTGCTGCTCGCTGCCTAACAGTTATTGAATAATTTATACAAGGCTAAGGAAACATAGAAAATAAACATTTGTTTTTTGTTTTTGGTGTTTTTTTTACACAAAATAAAGAAACTATGCACAAAGTCTGGCCTCCTATGGTATGGCAGGCAGTGTGGCGTGGTGAGGCTCCAGGTTCGGGCGCGGTGGTGGCAGCCGCTCGCAGGGGCGGCTGTGGCCCTACTCTTTGCCAGCATAGTGCACATCCTTGACACTCCTGACTGCACGGTTGTCCACCTTGGGGCCCGAGGCCCAGCGGGCTGGCCTCCCTGGCAAGCAGCTGGGGTCTTTGGTGAATCTGTGTGAGAGGAACTTCTCTGCCTCCGGGGAGTCCTCGTCCGCACGGCCCAATTCGTCCTCCTCATCCTCCCCGCCACCCCCAGGGCTTGCTGGCCCGGGCAGCACCTCGCCAGCTCTGCGCGGCGGCGGCGTGAAGTTTTTACACTGGTACAGCACGTCCTTGTGGGCCCCGCTGCCTGGCCCAATGCCACCCAGACGCTCAATGGGGTTGCGGATGGGGTTGAGCGGGGCCCACTGGTTGTTGGTGCTCTCATCTCGTGGCAGGCGACTCCTCTCCCGCTCTTTCCTGCGCTTCCGGGTCCACCACACACAGATGACCACGCAGGCCAACCACAGCACGCTGAACAGGCCGCACAGCACTGGCACCAGCAGGCCTGGCAGAGGGCAGTATGAGCGGGAAGCCACTCCAGCCTGAACTGCCCTCCGGGTCTTGGCTGGAGAGGTCCCAGGCCAGGTGGGACGCACCCGCCCTACTCCTAGCGGAGTGCTGCCCGGCAGGTTCCCACAGGCCTGAGCCCCTGGGGAGCCCCTGCCACCCCTACTTACCTGTCGAAGAGCCGCCCATGACCACGGTCTCCACCTTGACCTCAGTGATGGCCAGCAGCAGTGAGCTGTTGCCCCTCTGGGTGATGGCAGCCACGATGGCGTGGGCTGCGCCCTGGATCAGGCTGCTGTCGGGCAGGTCCCTCGAAGGGCTGAAGGACTGCAGCAGAGGACAGGGCTGTGGGGCAGCCCACGGGCACCCTGTCCGCAACCCAGCCCGGCCCAGCACAAGGCCAGGTCCAGCCCCCAGCTGTTCGGGCGCAAAGATGAGGGGTACTAAGTGCCCAGCACAGGGCTAGGAAAGTGCAGCCCAAGGCTCAGGGGCTCATGGGGGAATCTGGCAGCTAGGACGCACCCAGCAGGCAGATCTGGGTGGGGTGGCCAGGCCCTGCCCTGTCCACCGACCCCCCCACTGGTCCTTCTTAGTCTACTCCCCACCTCTCAGGTCTCCAGCACACTGCACTGGAGTGAGTGTTCAGAGTGGCCCGGCCCCACGCTCACCACGGCCACCTCCACGGCGCTGGCCCCTGAAGACGCCCGGTCACAGAGTAGCAGAAGCAGACGTTCCCGGGCCACTGCCCTTGTGGCAGGCAGGGAGCGGATTCCAGAGCAGATGGCACCCACAGTGGTACCCTGGGCAGATGGGCAGCATGTGAGCAGGGTGAGGCAAAGAGCTGAGCCACCCCTTCCTCTGCTACCCACAGGCTCCTGGCAGTCACACCCTGCAGCTCCTGGGGAGCAGAGTGGAGACAAAAACGGTGATACCCTGCCTCTGTCGTGTTCTCACATGAACGAGCTCAGAGAAAGGGAGGGGAGCAGGAGCCTGGAGAGTAAGGACAGGACCTTGGCCCAGGGCCCGCTATGGCCAGCCATGTCTAAACCCAGGAACAGCAAGACAGGTCCCCCCGGCCCCCAGCCAGCACCCAGCACCCAGGCTCTGGGCCCTCTCCTCTGGCCCTGTGAGCGGGCACCAGGCCCACACACACCTGGGGCACGTGGTCGCGGTCAAAGCGCAGTGTGAGGCGTGCACAATTGTTGTCCAGGTGGCTGGAGCGAGGCTGGCAGGGGGTGCTGGGCGGCAGGGACTCCTCGGCACCACACTCACCCCAGGCCTCACAGGGCGGCTGCAAACACTGGCCCGGGGCCTTCTCCCTGCACTGCTGCCCCGGCGGACACTGGGCGCTGAGGCTAGCAGGCTGGCCAGACAATAGACAAGGCTTCCAGCCACACCACACCTGGGCAAGGACACCAGGAGGGTCAGATGCAGCACAGGCAAGGATGTCAAGGGCGACAGACATGGCTGAGTGCACCAGCCGAGGCTTGGCCCCACCCCACAAGCAGGCTGAGCGCCACACTGGAAAGGGAGTTCTGCAGAGAATGCTGGTGGGGCCCAATTGCAAGAGGAGGAGCAGGCTGATTGTACCTGAGGCCCCTCCCAGGATGTCCAGAGGGACCTCAAACCCCTGGCCCACTGCACCCTGGTATGGGCCTCCTGACATCTCAGAGCCAGCCCCAGGAATAAAGGTGTGCAGGGTCAGCATTAGCTGACTGGCCAGGTAGGGTTCTCACTCAGGCCCTACCTTGCTGCAGTCTCGGTGGCCATCCAGGCAGCGGCAGCTGTTGCAATCTTCTATCCAGGAGCTGCCATGTGGGAATGGCATCCCCCGGGACCAGCAGGACCTCCCGAACCAGATCACTGCGGGGATGAGAAGGTGGAGTCAGAATGGCTCCTGGGCCCTGGTGGCCACATCCGGCCCACTCCTTGCCCAGCACCACTCCTGCGGCCTACCATCTTGGCAGCGGGGACCGGTTCGGCCGGGTGGGCAGCTGCAACGGTACCCATCGATCTCATCCACGCAGGTGGCCCCGTAGGCACATGGCGAAGACTGGCACTCGTCAATGTCTACGGGCAGAGACTGTGCTCAGTACCCCGCGTGGGCCAGGCCAGGCCGGTGGCGGGAGGGGGAGCACACATTCCTCAGGTCACGGCGTGGCTGCACCAACTCAGCCACCAGCCTGCAGGGCCTGCACAACCTGCATGCTAGTCACTCACCAGCCTGAAGCCCTCTCCAGACCCCAGAGGCCTCGCCCTCGCCAGCTGCCCCAATAATAGGGGTGCATGGGGCCTGTGGGGTCCACTCCTTCCCAGGGTGCTCCAATCCCAGGGCTGACACCCATGAACCACAGCCCTGTATCACCAAAGAGTGGCATGGAGCTGCACTTGCTGCCACCGGTGCCCTCTGCCCCCAGGGTCTCTGACATGCTCCCCTGGATAGAGCCCAACCATGTCCCCTGGAGACCTGCAGGACACAGGTACGAGGCACAGGGAGGCAGGGTACCACTGTACTGCCCTAGGCTGGGGCCCCTAGTGGTTGAGGGCTCCCAGGGCCCAGACCCAAAGCACCCCCACTGTCCCCGTGGCCACAGGCTGCTCACTGATGCGGCAGTCGGGCCCCGCAAAGCCGGGGGCACATTCGCAGCGGAACCAGTTCACGCCATCCACACAGATGCCACCATTGTAGCTGCAGGAGAGGGCGGGAGTCAGGGGTCCCGCCACAACGCCCCCACCCCACCAGCCTCCTCAGGGCGTCACTCACCAGGGCAGAGGGTTGCAGTCATTCGTGTCTGGATTGGAGGGAAAAGAGAACCGATTGGCCTGGCACCTACCTCCAGGGCACCCTCTGTGGCAGGCCTGGATGCCCTGGGCTTGCAAGAGGGTGGACACTGCACCGTCCAGACCAAGGGAGCTTCACTGGAAAGGGGGCTACACCTCAGCAGGAGCCCAGGGGAAAGAGGGGCACCACAGGTCTTGGAGTGGGAGTTAGCTGGTGGACCAAAGGGAGTAGTCCCTGGGGTGGGGCTAGGAACTGCATGAAGAGGGCATCACACCCACAGGGGCCCAGCTCACTGTGTGTGCAGGTGCGGCCCTCCCAGCCATCCCGGCAGATGCAGGAGAAGGAGTCACCGCTGCCCACGCATGTGCCCCCATTCATGCATGGGTTGGGCAGGCAGCTGCTGTTCTCAGCTGCAGGGAGGAGAAGTGGCTGGTCGTCCACCTGGCCGACATGGCTCAGAAGCCAGAGAGGATGGGGCAGGGACGAGGCAGGGTGCCTCACCAATGGTGCAGGTGCTGCCCTTCCAGCCAGGTAAGCAGGCGCAGCGGAAAGCATCCCCACTGTCATAGCAGGTCCCGCCATTACTGCAGGTGTAGGCGTCACACTGGAACTCACCTGCAGGCACATGGCATTCAGTGGGGCCGCAGACCCCGCTGGTCCTGGTGGCACCCCCTGCACACAGGGGCCCAAGGACTCACGGGAGTGGCAGGTCTTGCCCTTCCAGCCATCATCGCATGCACAGTAGAAATCGTTGACCAGGTCATGGCAGCGGCCGCGGCTATGGCAGGGGTCGGGAAGGCAGTCGTTGGAATCTGGGGGTGAGGACGCCGGTCAGCAGGGGTCACCAGCACCTGGGGAGGGCTTCCCAGGGAGGAGCATAAGAGCCCGGCACAGGGCCCGAGCGGGAAGCCAGGTCCCCACCCTCACAGTGGCCACATGGTCCAGCCAGGCCCACCTCAGAACGTGAGGGGTGCGGGACAGGGGCGCCCACACTCACCGATGTCACAGAACTCGCCCTCCCAGCCGCTGGGGCAGAAGCAGCGGAAGGCGCCCACCTCATCGATGCATGTGCCCCCGTTGTGGCAGGGCTGGCCCAGGCAGTCATCAATGTCTGCAAAGAGGGCAGGGGTGTGCACATGAGCAAAGGGCGGGCCAGCGCTGTCCCTGCCCCGGCCCAGTGCGCAACTCACTCTCGTGGCAGTAGGTGCCTGTGAAGCCGCTGTCGCAGACACAGGAGAAGTTGCCCCCTGGCTGGCTGACACAGTGCCCATGGGGGCCACACACACCGGAGGGCACCACACTGGGCCCCACCTCAAACCCGCAGCTGTCGATCACTGTGGCAGAGGGATGGAAGGGTCAGGCCCATCCTGTCACACTCCCCCACCCACCCCCTCCCATGGTTCACACCCCACCTCTGCAGGCTCCGCCTGGGCACGGCACCCGGGGCACAGAACAGTTCTTGCCACCAAAGTCCTCAGGACAGGCGCAGTAGTAGTCACCCTCCAGGTTGTAGCAGCTTGCACCATTCAGGCAAGGGCTTGGCTCACAGAAGTCCACAGCTACCTGAGGCCAGAGCAGGGGAACGTCTGTGAGTTCCCAGCCCTTCTGTCCACACGAAGGCAGGGCCCTGGGCACCCTTGAGGCTGGGCCCCCACTTGGCTCAGATTATGGGCCCCTTGGCCCTGGCACGCAGACCCCGCCTACCCAGGCCTGTCCAAGCTCCATCAGCTGGGCGGAAGCACCTGTGGCCCCCCCGTGCCGCCATGGAGGCCGCTTCCTCTGCCTCCCACAGGCGCATCCGGCCTGGGCTCCTCCCACGGGCAGGAAGGCCAGCTCCTGACCCCGCACTGGCAGGCCACCTCAGGGCCCAGACAGGGTCCTGGTCAGAGCCAGCCATAATCGCAGACCCAATGCCAGGCCTCTGCCGTGGACCCCAGGAAACTGGGTGGACAGGGGCCACCCTCCACAAAAAAGCCAGCCCAGAATCTGGGGGCTAGGGAACCAGCGGAAGTGCAGGCAGTCCAGGAGGCGGCACCCACTCCTGCTTAAGGCCCACCTGCTGCCTCCCCAGGCCACCCATCACCCGTGCTACATGGGCCCTACCCATCCATCTGAGCCAGGGAGGGGCTCATCAAGACCGTGGTGACCCTGTGGACCCCAGGGGCACGTCCCACTGCAGACCCTCTGGTTGGTGGCAGCAGTGAGCCTCACCTCGCAGAGTGGCCCTGAGAGGCCCTTGGGGCAGTGGCAGTGGAAGCCATCAGGCAGGTCCTCACAGACGCCACCTCCACGACAGGGGCTGCTGGCACACTCCCCACGCGCTAGCTCGCAGTGCCGGCCTCCAAAGCCCCGAGGGCACACACACTGGTACCCATTGACCAGGTCCTGTGGGGCACAGGACTGTGAGCCTCCCACCCTGCCAGCCCCACCCCATGCTCCTCCAGGGCTCAGGTGGGCAGCAGGTAGCTGGCCTTACCTTGCAGGTGCCACCATGTTGGCACTGCCCACGACAGTCATTGATGTCTGTAGACAGGACACATTGTAGGTCAGGCCGGGGTCCCCCGTGCTACCCCGGCCCCCCGCCTATGTTGCCCACCCGTACTGACTGATGTGACAGTTGGCGCCCTTCCAGCCCGGGAGGCAATCACAGTAATAGCTGCCAATCAGGTTTTTGCAAGAAAAAGCATTAAGGCACGGCTTCCCATCACACTCATTGGCGTCTGTGGACGAGACAAGGCACGTGGGCTTGGGCCCTGCCTGTACAGCCAGCACCCATAGCCCCGCAGCAGCCACAGCACATGCATAGCCCCGGCCGGGTGCCAAGACTGCAGAGCCCTTACCTAGCTGGCACGTGGCCCCCACCCACTGCTTGGGGCAGATGCATTCGAACCCATCCACCTGGTCCACACAGGTGCCACCTGCTGCACACGGGTTCGAGGCGCACTCATCGATGTCTGCAAGGAGGTGATAAAGGCCGAAGTATGGCATGTAGTCCCCAGGGCAGACCAAGTCCCCCATGTCCCGTCTTCCTGTCACTCAATCCCTGGTCACAATGTCCACAGCCACACATGGGCACCCCCACACCAGGGCCTCGGAGCTCTGCCCTCTCCCAGGACCCTTGGTTGCCAGGCTGCACCAGATGCACACAGGCACTCACCAAGTGCACAGGTGGGCCCACTCCAGCCCGACGGACAGTGGCATTCAAAGCCGGATGGCACCTCATGGCAGGAGCCCCCATTGGCGCACGGGTTGGAAGCACAGGCATGCTCGGCTGCAGAAGCAGAGTGCGGTGGTGGGAGTGGCACCAGGCCCCCACACCCACCAGGCTCCTCCCCAGCCATACAGCCAGGGGCACGGCAGCCTGCCCACTCACCCCGCTCACAGTTCTTGCCCGAGTAGCCGTCAGGGCAGGCGCAGCGGTACTGGTCAGGCTCGACGTTGATGCACGTGCCCCCATTGGTGCAGGGGCGGTGGCTGCCGCAGTAGTTCAGGTCTGCAGGCAGAGTGGGTCTCTCAGGGGACAGACTCCCTGTGCCCATTTCCTGTGCTGCAGGCCCAGCTCGCCTGACCATCCCCCCGCTGCCCACCCACCCTTGCTACCTTTGTCACACAGCAGGCCACCCCAGTTGGTCTCACAGTCGCAATGCCAGGGCTCCACGCAGCTGCCGTGCACACAGCCAGGGTACGGGACACACTCGTCACAGAACCTCCCCTGCCAGCCATAGCTGCACCTGGGGTAGGCCAAGGGCAAGGCTATGGAGGTGGGCATGGCCCCGCAAGCTGCCCTGGGGTCAGCAGCCTCAGGCCTTTGAATGGCTGCGGCTTAGGGCAGGCAGGAGTCACAGCCCGCCGCCAGCCCCACCGTCACAGGCACTCGCGGGCGCGTTGGGTCAGCCCCAGCTGTCCCGTCATTCCTCCCTGAGCTATTCTGGGCCTCACCCCGAGCCAGTCCCCAAGAGCAGGCGCCGGGAAAGGAAGGCCCTGTGGGGCCCAGGGTCACAAGCCAGTGTTGGCTGGCCAGGTGCTGCCAGGCCGGAGCAGTGCCCCAGACGTCAGGAGAGGGCTCCTACCCGCCCGGCCGCCTGACCTTGGGTACCGCACGTGACCTCAGCACGGTTGCTCCACAGCAGCAGCTGCTGTTTCCCAGCAGAGCCCTGTGAGGGGTGCACACAGAGGGACACAGGGGCCACAGGCTGCCCCCCAGCTCTGCAATAGCTGCCAACCTGGGAGGGCTCCGTCCACTCTGGAAAACAGCCCAGGACCTGTGGACTTGGAGGCCAAGACCCAAGGCCTGGCTCTGCCGCATGTGCCCTCCGGAAGTCCTCCAAGAGCCAGGTGGGCAGGCTGCACAGCCCTCAGGCAAAGGTCACTCTGGGCCCAGTGGACTACCCTCCAGGCCTCTTCCTAGAACGCTCATGTCCTGTGGGACGGGAATGACGCCCAGGCGTGTCACTTCCATAACGGCACCCGCCACAGGAGTTATTTTTATAGAAGGAAAGACCACAGCCCTTCCTGAGCTGCCTGAGCCGCACAGCCCCAAGAGAATCCACCCAGCTCATGGGGCTTGGGATGGGGAAACTGAGGCCAGGAACAGACAGCTGTGGGATCCATCCCCATATGTATAGGGCAGGTGCACAGTGGGCCTTGTGTCCTGGCCATAGCTCCCTCCAGCTGGCTCAAGCGAGCTGTGATGGACTTTGGGTCACCTGCCAGGGAGCACATGGCAGGTGCAGCACCCAGGCCTTTTGGTCCTGACAGCACGCTCTCACGGAGCAGCCCACAACAGACTCCCAGGCCCCCCAGCCAGAAGGCTTGGTCATCTCCATAGAATCTGGCTTGGAAGGGAGGCTGAAACCTGAGCCAGAGGCGGCTGGACCCTGTCCACAAGGTTGAGGGGGTGCTGAGGCTTACCTCCACCCTCAAGCCTCTGTCCCCATACTACCTGCTAACCTGGCCCTCATCTTCCTGCCAGAAGGGCTTCTCTTGCACCCCACATCCTAGGTGAGGACACCAGATGGCTTGGCCATCAACCCCCAGGGACACTGTACAGTCAAAGTAGGGAACAGTGAGGCGAGGAGGGTGCAGTGACTAAAATGAGGCCATGGTGCTCTGCACCCATGGACCGTACCTGTGGAGTCCCTTTCCCCCCTTAGCACATGGTCACCCGGCAGGGATTTGCCCCACGTCCTTCTCTCCTCCCTGGATGGACCTGACTCCTGGGCACCCCAGCCCCCAGCCCATCCTGCGCTGGGCTCCCACACAGCCTGGAGGCCCCTACAGCTCATCTGAAAGCCAGCATGTGCAGGTGACACCAACCTGACTCCTCCCCTCCAGCCAGGCTGCTCCCAGCTCCGGCCTCAGGTGTGGAAAGGCTCAGCCCCAAGGCTGCAGAACCACTTAGTCGTGAAGTGCACCGCACTCAGGCCTCCCGCACCTGCCCCCTCCAACCTCAGGGCCCAGCAGTGCCAGGACCACCTCCTCTACCCCTCACGGAGCAGGACGGCTCCCCATGCCCACAGCTGACCTGCTGGGGTGGAGTGCTCCTGGCCTCCTCTCCATCCTACCTGACCCGAAGTCTTATGCCACCCGTATGCCACAGGCGCCCAGGTGCCCATCATTCCTGGTCCGGCCCCCGCTCCCCCATCCACCCCTTGTCCCACACCCCCCTTCCCCTCCAGGGCCTGCTTCTCCCACCCCTCCCACCTCAGCTTGCGCTAGAAAGCTCAGGGCCCTTCCTTCTTGACTCTGTTCACCTCCTCTCAAGCTCACCTCAAGCCCATGCCTGTACCCTGCCCCCAGACACCTGCAGGAGGAGCCCACCCTCACCCTGTCCCTTACAGCCCAAGGGGTTCTTCCCATAGGCAGCTGTATGGTCCTCACTCCACACCCTCTTCCCCGCAGCGCTGCCGTACCCCTGATCCTCATAGGGCTCCTCTTTCCTTGGATCCCCTTCCTTGGGCGGGGGCCATCTTCCCAGACAGTCTACTCCCCTCCTACCCCTCCTTGCTGTCCCCTTGGAGCCACCAGTGCACGGCCTCCCCTGTGATGGCTGTGGGCAGCCACCTCCCACTCTCTGTGCTGCTCCCCAGGTGCCTGACAAGGAGCTGCAGCAACTGCTGGCTGAAGGGGAACGCAAGCAGAGGAGGGGCTGGTGAGCACCCACCTGCACTCCCCAGGCACGGCACATCCCCCGTGGAGCAGGTTACAGCCTTGTCTGCACACAGCTGTAGACAGAGGGAAGAGAAGCCCTGCTATGGCAGCCACCCTGGCCAGCCCCACACCGAGCGGCCCACCCCTGCAGTGCAGCCCTCACCATCCTTGCACTCCTTGCCCATCCAGCCATCCAGGCAAGCCTTGTTGCCATACTGGTCGCAGCTGTAGTGCCCGAAGAAATCATCGCGGGGCCGGCAGAACTTGTTGCACGTGGCACTGTAGTAGTTCTCGTCACAGCGCACGCGGATCTGCAGCTCCAGGTGGGCCACATGGCCACTGAAGTGCAGGCTCTTCCAACGGTCCTCAGGGTTGATCATGCCCGCGTGTGACACCCGCTCAATCAGCAGTTCCTCTGGGCACAAAGTCAGATGTTCACCTGCTGTCCCCAAGGCAGCCCAGGAAACCTACCCAGCCAAGTGGCCTTGGGGACACTGGTCAGGCCACCACATAAGCTCCAGGCCCAGATTCACCCACCTCCCCTGGCCCATTTTCACCTGTAAGCCCCAAGCGCCCCCTCACCCCTACTGGCTGCCACGAGACACAGCTCCAACACCAGCGGACCCACTGGGCACGGGGTCCAGCCCAGCACAGGGGATGTCACTGCACAAACGCCCTACCACCCAGACATGCACAGCTCAGCCATCCCCTGCAGGCCTTCTGCGGCCAGGGACACCTGGGCAGTGGGGGCCAAAGAGGCCCCCTTATGCCGCGCCTGCACGTTTACACCTGTGCAAGCCTTCCAGAATGAGACAGCAAGCAGTCCCGCAAGCCCCTGTATCCTGCTGCCTCCAGCCAAGGCTGGGGTTGGAGGTCTCTGGAGACATGGTCCCTGGGCTGCCCCTCTCAGCAAGGCCTCAAATCTTTGTCAAGGCTCCAAGGGTCTTGCTTTCGCTTCGACCCACCCCGCCATGCTGAGCCATGGGTTCCTCTGTGGTGTTCCCAGCATTGCCACTGGTTGGGCCTGGGGCTCAGCCAGACTTGTACCCAACTGCCCACACCACTCCTCCTACCAGTGTCTCTCACCTGCAGCCACTGGGCCACACAGACCCTGACCACATCCTGCATCCCTAAGCTGCCCCCACCCTGGCCCCACAGGCTGCCTCCATACCTCAGCTGGGAGGCAGGGTCCTCGCAGGGCCTACAAGTTGTGTGGTCTCAGCCCGATCTCACTGACCCCGTCCTCCCGCCCACCGCTCTTCAAACACCAGGCACCATCTTCCTTGGGTCCCTGCATGGCCTTGGGAGGTTGCCATCAAACCATCCGCCCAGGACAGACAGACAGAGGGGAGGCATGCAGTGGGGTCATGCGAGGGCACCTCGCTGCCAACACGTTCTAAAGAACATGCCTGGCAGGGGCTGGCTGTGTGGAGATCAAGTCTGAGAGATCACAAACACAGAAAAGCCTCCTAGCAGACAGGATAAAGAGAAAGGACACATCGCCTCCAGGTAGACAAACTTTTTGGCCACAGGAGCCTTTGTCCCCTGCAGATGAAAGATCAGGAACCTGGCCATGTGCATCCCTGTGGTCTGAAAGGGCCCTAAAAACAGCTGTGTGCCCCCTCAAACCAACCAAACAGGAATACTCACCATCCAGGGTAGTCTCATTGTCCCAGTCCCAGGCCTCCACGATGAGAGTGAAGGAACGCTGTGGACAGGAAGGCAGTCAGGTATCTGGGACCCTGCCCCAGCTCCCCTGGGCAGGCCCCAGAACGGAGGGAGAAACCCCAGAACTGGGGCTCAGTCAACATGGAAGGCGGCAGCCTCAGGGCAGGGTGGCAGGCACCTACTGAAGTGGCACAGAAGGCCAGGACACCCCCAGCCCCACTGGGGTCTGACGTGGCAGGAACTCCCATGGTCCCTCTATCGCCCCAAGAGAGACAGCTCCACAGCCACCCTGGCTGCCTCCCCTAGGCACACAGGACACCTGCTGAGAGGCCCTCCAAGGCCAAGGTTAGGGGGTCCTTATAGCAGGGTACAGCAACTCAACACCTCCCCCAAGGCAGGGCAGGACAGGTCAGGAGACCTTTGCTACACAGGTAGGAAATAGGCCCACAAGCCCCTGGGCCTGCCTAGTGCAGCCTCAGTCTGTGGTCACCACAGTTCCCCACCGTTTGGCCCTCCTCCGGCCCCAAGTTGCAGTGACACAGGAGGGTAACCTGAGTGGCCCATGGCAGTGCCCAGTGGCCACCCTTGGGCACACGCAGAGCTGCCCAGCATGTGCTACAGCCCCACACAGACTGCTCAGCACTATGAATATGGCCTGGTTTCACAGGCTGCTGACTTCCCACACATGGGGACACCACATGGGGAGTGTCCAGGGCCTGTGGCCCGCTGTGCTGCGGAAACTGTCCCTGTCGAGGCCGAGGGTCCCTACCTGCCCAGCACCACTGCCCCTGCACCTGCCCACAGACTGCACGGAGCCACCCACGCCCTCGTCTCCCTTCCCAACCCAGGATGGGTCCCGGCCCTCCCAGCCTGCTGCCTGCCACATCGAACCACGCCAGCCTCCAGACACTCAGCCTGGCCTCAGGGGAGGCAACCACAACACACTGTGTCCCCTCCTGAGCAGCTCTGGATGTGGGGCCATACCCACTGGGAGCAAGGCTGGAAGGTACCCCTGGTCCCAGCCTGTGGGGCTTACCCTCCTCCCCAGACCCACTGGCCCCGAAACAGTGTCCCACAGCTGCCTTCTCCTAGGCTCAGAGAACAGAGCCCCTGGGAGAGCAAGGGCATGGAACTAGACTCTCAGTGCGGCTGGCACCAACCCTAGCACAGACAGCACTGCTGGTGCTCAGCAAAACGGGGGCTAGAGTCAGGTCTGGGACCCATGGGGCTGAACGGTCACTCAAGCCTCTGGACAGACCGGGCTGGACCGGATGGGGCAGGGTAGCCCAAGACCACAGCTGTAGGCCATGCCAATGGGCACAGGCCTGCCTCCTGCTCACCCAAACAGCCACACTGGGGCTTCAGGATGCACGGGAGCTCCTCTCAGCTCCCAGGAAACCCACGCCAGCCACCCAGATAGGGTTACCATCACCCCCACTGAGCCAGGCTCTGGTTACCTGCTCCCGTGGGGACGTGCGCCTGCCTGCCGCCCAAGAGGGCCCCACCGCCTGCCAGCTGGGCTCCCTACACCTGGACGGCAGGAAGTCATCCAGAGAGAACCTGAGCCGGCAGGTGGGCCAGCACCTGCGGCCCTCACAGAGCCCTCCTCCCCGAGCCACCCATCAGCACTGAGGGCCACTCTCTGCACATGACACCCTAACCCCATGCTTCCGACCCACCGGGCCGCAGCCTGGGACAGGGTTTTGTCAACCTCAACTCCTACTGGACAAAAGGGACCATGGTGTCTGGGCAGAGGGAAAAGGGCCTGCTTTTCTCAGAAGGGGACTATGGCCAGCAAAAGCAATGGGGGCTGGGCAGGAGGAGGACCGGAGGTGGTCAGAGAGTCGCCACCTGCCCAGACTTCCAGCAGGCAGGGGGAGCCAGGGATGTCTTCCTGACCATCCAGTGGAAGCTCTGCCCTGAGGACCCCGCCACTCCCCCACCCACCTCTACCACACCTATCTCTCTGCCTCAAGGCTGAGCCCAGCCCTGAACATCCCCATCTGCCCCTCAAACAAGGTTAACAGGCAGTGGACCAAAGTCATGGGAAAGGAAAACGTGAGAACCCCAGCCCAGCACTAGGCCAAAGCCCCAGGCCCAGGGTCTGCCTGTCACAGTCCCTCAGCATCCCAACCTGGTCCCCGATGAAGCCCAGGCCCGGTGCCGGTGCTGGTGCCAGTGCCAGGAGCCTTAAGTGCAGATATGTTTCCTGAAACTTGAACTCTGGAGAGGCCCAGGGCTCTGCCACCATCCTTACCCCAGCAAGAAGGGAGGGAGCATCCCAGGCCCCAGGGCCACACAGGGGTAGATCACTGCCCACCAGTCTGGGCCCCACTGCACCCCCTAATCCCCCACTGTGAAGGGAAGTAGAAGGCTCCAACCCCTCCCACAGCCACCTGGGGTCTCCCAGGAGGCCAGGGCCCAGCCTCAAGTCCACGCATGGGGACAGGGACCAACTCAGCCTGGGGTCTGGGGATGGGGACCAGTTCAGGTCCAGGAGTGGGGGTGGGGAGCTGGTCCTGGCGTCCAAGGAACAGGTGCTCTGTCTGAGGCCTGGCTCCTCAGAATCCCTCATTGGCCCAGATAGTCCCCACTCTGTCCAGACACCATGATGCCAACCAAGTAACACTAGAACCCATGATTCCTTCCCAAACAGCCCTGCCACACACCTTCCATGCACCCCTTCCCATGCCATCCTCTCCCCAGGGTGCCCTCAGCCACCTCCAGGCCCTCCACTGCAGCCCACCCTGCCTCCTATGGCTTTTGCCATACCAAAGCCCTGGGCAAGACTCCCGAGCTCTATGGCAGACAGCCAGGTACAGGGCAGATCCCACCTAGGCAGAGGTCCCATCTGAGAAGGTGTGGGCAGGCCAATGCAGTGGCCCTGCCACGCAGAAGGGACCCTAAAGATGGACAAGGGGCTGAGGTTGGGGGTGACAGTACCAGCCCCAGCCCCAGCCCCAGCCCCAGCCCCAGCCCCTGGCAGGACACAGAGCCAGGATAGGGTCCATGAGGCCAGACCTTCATGGCAGTTGGGTACAAGGGGTCAGGCCCTGTGTCCATACCCCACAACACCTTCCCGCAGTACTCAGAGCCCTGACCAGCCAGGGCAACCTTCACTTGGTTTCCCCTTGGATTGAGCCCACGCTGGATGGACCTACAGCAACATCTGGCTTCACAGGGTCCGTGGGAAAAGCTCCCCCACCCCAGCTCAGGCAAGGAAAGCAGACCCTGCTGGCTGCAGATGGAGCCATCAGAAAAGGGTCAGCCTGGCCCACCTGGCCATCCACAGGGCTTTGCCTACCTGTTCTTCCTACACTCCACATCCACCGTGGGGCCTTCCCTATACTCTACCACCCAGCATGGCTACCCCTCTGGCACCAACACAGCACACTCCAGGATGGGTCTGCTGCTGAAGGCCTCGCCCTGGGTGGGCTCTGGGCCCAGCAGGCAGGTTGCCGGGTAGGCATGGCCTTAGCAGGGCCACAGTCGCTCTTCTCTATGCAGCCCACTGCAGGGCAGAGTCTTGGGCTGCCAAGACACCCCAACTGCGACCACCTAGCTCCCCACTTGGCCAGCAATGCCCTGAAACAAGGAAAAGACTCACTCCTCTCCAAGAGGTCCATCAGCCCCTGGCTACACACAGTGCTGACACACATGAACAAACGTGGCCTCCACTCTGCCAGCCACAGGCCAGGTATCAGTGACAACAACCCAGGGTGACACAGACCTCTTGGGAGACAGGTGGGCCAGGGCCATGAAAGAAGGGCGGCACCCACTGGTGGGCAGCATGCTGGGTACCACAGCTCTCCATATCCAAGACCTGGACCTACCCACTCAAGGAGGCTGAGCCCAAGGCCGTCACAAATGTAGCCATGGCTGCTGGCAGTGGAGGCCTATACACACAAGGCGTGTGCAGAGCCCAGCTAGCTCTTCGTCTACATCCACATCTGTGCATCTGTCTTTCACAAGGCCCCCCCATGCCTCTGGAGCCTGAGTCCTGGCTGGTTTTACAGAGGACCAAACCCTCCCCACTAAAGCCCCTGCCTCCATGTCCATTCTTGCTTTGCCCAGGCAGAGCCACTGCCCCAGTGGGCACCTGGATTCCAAACACACCGCAGCTCATGGGACAGAGCCGGATTTGTGGCAAGCTGGAGCAGCATGGCCTGGGGCTGCCGTCGACAGCGGAAATACCAGGGTGCTGGCATCATGGCACCAGCTCAAGGCTGGCAGCTGGGCCACACAGCAGGAGGAAAGAAGGAAAAAGGGAGCTGCCCAGCACCGCTGCCCTGCAGCCCTGGTCCTTGGCAGGGCAGGTGTCTGCCCCTGTGGGAATGCATGAGGGAACCACCATGAACAAGAGGAAGAGCAACAAGCTGGGCCACAGCGCAGGCTCTGGGCTCCAGGGAAGGCGAGAGCCTGCCCCATCCCGCCCCACAGGGGTCGGCTGGCCAGCGGGGCGGAGAGCCACAGGGACACGCGTTGGCCCGCCACATTCCTCCAGGGCCTCCCTGCCCCCACACCCATGGCTGCCAACTCTAGCAGAAAACACATCCTCAGGTAGCGATTTGGAGCCGCACTGGCTGGGGCCCAACTGCAGATGACAGGCTGCGGGCCCTGCTCAGACCTGCCTGCTGCGCACTGTGGGGGCGAGGAGGCTGGGCTTATCGTAACTGCTCGGGCTCCTCCTGTGCCTGCCCCTGCCTTCTCCATCCCAGGGCACGTTTCCTACCCCACTGATTGCCCAGCAATCAGTGGCAGTATGGGATGGCCAGAGGACTGTGGTCCCCTCCTGGGCAGAAGAGAGCCAGGAGGGGTCAAGAAGAACCACAAGTGTGCACCTGGCAGCGCTCAGAGGGTGCAGCCCAGAGCCAGGTGCCAAGGTGGGGTGAGGGAGGCCCTGCGGGTCCAACCTTGGCCAGGCCGGGCCCTAGTGCCCAGTCTCTTCCAGGACCAGGGCACCAGGTGGACTCACTCCTGTGTCTTGGGGCCACGGCAAGGATGCTCTTGGGTCACTGGCACCCTGCTCCATCCACTCCC